TCCCAATATGCTCAGCAATGAGGATGCTGCCGCCCATGTGAGTTTACTTTTTATTTGTGAATATCATCCTGAATATAGGCAAAGCATAAAATCTGAGTTTTTCCATGTAGTTTTAATAATCTCTTTGCTTTTTGTAGTTTGAGCAAATGCTTGGTTTAGCTCAGAGGTCGCAAGACGAACTGTTCCACATCGCTCTTTATAATTGGCTCATCCAGGCTGACCTCACTGACAAACTCCTTGAGGTAAGAGGCGTTTTCTGCATTGGAGTCAGTAAACTTTTGTATGTACTTTATCTATGTTCCCCCCCCCCGTTTTCTCCCTAGTTTGGCCAGTTCCCACCTGCTAGCTAGGTCTCCCCTTAGTCCCCTTATCACACAAAGCTACCAACCTGGAAAGTGGGGACAAGCATATGTTTCCTCAGACATAACAACCCAACCACTTTATCTTTTCAAACTGCTGTTAATGCAGAGTCATCTGACAGCTCAAGGTGCTTGAAGATGAATGCTAACTGCCGATTCTGTGTTTTGGTTTGCATAGGTCAACTCTCCCTACCTTGAGGACCATTTAATGCACATGATAAAGCAGGACCAGAACAAAGTGCGCAACATGGATCTCCTGTGGCGTTACTACGAGAAAAGCCGCAACTTTGGCAAAGCGGCTCATGTCCTTGCTAGGCTAGCTGACATGCACAGGTGCGTCACCATAGACTCCTGGAGCTGAGCCTGTAAGTTGGAAGTGCACAAAGATAACAGATTGTATCTTTGTGTTTCTGCAGCACAGAGATTTCTCTGAAACAGAGGCTGGAGTACATCTCCCGGGCCATTCTTTCAGCCAAGAGCTCGTCTTGCATCTCATCCATGGGAGCTGATGGCGAGTTCCTGCATGAACTGGAAGAGAAGATGGAGGTATGGAAGATCAAGCCAGACTTTAATCTAATGCAGAATGTTGACCGTGTCTTCTAGCCTTTGTTCCTTTGTATTAGGCAGAATGAGTGTTTAATAGCTGGATTTTCACAGCTTGTTACTTTATTTTCTATCTCTTGCCCTCCAGGTGGTGCGTATTCAGGTGCAGATTCAGGAAACACTGAGCAGACAGTACTCACAGCATCCCTCTGTACAGGGAGCAATATCTCAGCTTGACTCTGAGCTAATGGACATCACCAAGGTAAGCACATGGTGGTCTCAGTAGCAGAGACTTCAGCCGGTAGTCAACACAGAACCTGGTGAAAACTAGGGTGTTTTTTATGAGGAAAGGTAATTTACCTCAGTTTGTGCTTTTCTCAATTGCATTCTTTTTGTTATAGCTTTATGGAGAGTTTGCAGACCATTTCCGGTTGTCTGAGTGCAAGTTGGCTATTATTCACTGTGCTGGCCATTCAGATCCTATCCTGGTCCAGTCTCTGTGGCAGGAGATAATGGAGAAAGGTAGGTCTCCTGGTGGAGCAGTGTGAATGATACTGCTGATACGGTTGTAAAGATTGTTTTACTTATTATTATTATTATTATTATTATTATTATTATGTTTTCAAATTACAGAGCTGAGTGACAGTGTGGCTATGAGTCCAGCAGACCGCATGCGGGCCTTGAGTCTGAAGCTGGTATCCTTGGGGAAGCTGTATGCAGGAACACCACGTTACTTTCCTCTGGGTACCATTTTACTTCCTCTGTCAACACAGTGTCTCTGAGGGTTACTCTCTTGAAGTCAACACTTGTCAAATATAAATTGTTTAATTGCTTCCCTTGATCCCTTTTTTGCCTGCTAAGGCATGCCTGCATTTGCTCTTAGGTGCCAAAGGGTTTTGCCTCTGCAATTCATTATTTTGCTTTTATTTGACATTTGTTGTGATCTGATGACAGATTAAAAGACATTTTTCCTTCCCCCACTTCAGACTTCTGCTTAAAAATTGACTTAATGCTTAAAAAAAGGATGAAATCCAGTTTTGAAAAGGTGACGTTTTTCTTTACCATCTTCTTAATTCTCTGATTTTCAGAGTTCCTAGTCAAGTTTCTGGAGCAGGAGGTGTGTAAGCTGAACTGGGACGTGGGCTTTGTCACCTTCACTATGCAGGAGATTGGCGTGCAGCTCCCACGTCTGCTGGAAGTGTATGATCAGCTCTTCAAGAGCCGGGTATGAGACCTGCTATCAGTCTGTATTTCGGTTAGCGGCAAAGCATTTTTAGAGCACATGGAAGTGTGGATGTGATTATGTGCTCTTTTATATTTGAGTGATTAGTTCTTATCAGTACCATTTTTAACATTTGATGTAATATTTATTGTGAACGTCAGTTAAAATGTTATACTTCAAATGGTTATATGTAAATAAGTTGTCAATATCTATGTATATAGAGACACTTTAATTGAATATGAGGCTATATGTTGACTGAACTGATGTGTTCATGGCACGTTGTGATTTGGGGTATGTCCCTATAATCCATTTTTTTCCCTACAGTTTTCCAAAGACAGATGAATAAACCTAAGAGCAATAGTGTGTTAATAAGAGTGTGCAAATTATATGAGTGCATTATACACTATATGGTCCTAGATAGATGCCATCTGACTGCCAGATAATGAGAACATGTTTTCACTGCTTCAGAGTCCAGTGGTGGTGTGCTTTACACCACTCCAGCCAACGCTCGTCATTGCACGTAGTAATCTTAGGCTTGTGTGCAGCTGCTCAGTTGTGGAAACCTATTTCATGAAATTCCCAGTGCACAGGGCTTGTGCTGATGTAGCTTCCAAAGGCAGTTTAAAACTCTGTAGTGAGTGATTTAACAGAGGGCAGGCGATTTTAATGCGCTACGTACTTCAGCACCCGGCAGCCCCGCTCTGTAAGTTTGTGTGGTCTACCGTTCTGTGGCTGAGCTGTTGTTGCTTCTAGATGCTTCCAATTCACAGTAATGGTACTTATAGTTGACCAGGGCAGAAATTTCACAAAATTACTTCTGATCACATCCTGGAATAGTGCCACGTTTAAAGTCGCCTATCTTTTCAGTACGACCCATTCTACTGCTAATGCTTTTCTATAGAGACTGCATGTATGTGTAATTCATTTTATATACCTGTTAGTGGTGGGTATGGCTGAAACACCTGAACTCAATTTAATTCAAAAGGAGTGTCCACATACTTTTTGCCATAGTGTATTTAAAGTGATATCACTACCAACATACCATAAGTCATTACAATTCTGACTCATGCTTCTGACCTGAACTTTCACCAGTTTCACTAATTTCTCATGGTTTTCCTGCAGGATCCATGTTGGCAGCGTCTAAAGAAGCCTCTCCACTTAGTAGAATGCATTCATGTGCTTCTGTCAGGATATGTGGACGACCCCAGCAGAGTGCCCACATATGACAGGTAGAACTCAAAGACGTTATGTTCCCTGGATTCCTGTCACGCAGCTATGAACCTCCCTTACCCTATGTCTTGCCTTTTTTTTCAGACGGAGGTTCACCAATGTATGTCTGGACAACATCTGTGGCTATCTGGTGGAGCTTCAGTCTCTGAGCCCCAACGCTGCCCTGCAGGAAATCATTCGCAACTTCAAATCTCTGCAAGCCAAACTAGAGAAACTGCATTGAGACCAGAGCGTGACATCTTGCGTAGTAACATGAATGTATGACTGAATGGTTTTTGTCTCATTGCTGCTGTTCTGTTACTTCTGTGCTCACATAAGAGTTTGAAAGTAGCACCAATGGCCTAGGAGAGTTTACTCAAATGGGGGAAAAATGCTAAGGGATTAAAAGTGTATTAATAGCACTCACTCCTTTAAATATGCAACCTCAAATATTCAAACAGTTCCAGCAGATCTCTGATCTACAAGTTTACCTCTCTTAGTGCCTGGAAAGTCTTTTACATCTGTTTAAGCATACAGGAATTAAGTTGCCAAACTGTTTTCAAGGGTGCTGTAGGTTCACAAGAGATGGGATTGGAACAGTGACTTTTTTGCAAACTTCAGTGATTTCAGTTGTGTGTTTGTCAAAGTGTTTGATATGATAATTTTGCAAGAAAGTGTATGAATCTTTGTCCAAGACCTGGAGACAACTAAAAGGGGTTGTTACCGCTTCCGTGTTGAACAGCAAACAGCAAAAGAATCCTATGATTGTTGGATGAAGCTGTTTCAAATTGTGCTTGCAGTGGTAAGCTCATTGCTGACACTTCCATATTGATGGAAATTTCCACTTACTTTTATCATGGATTCACTGTAGTCTAATTAGAATGTGCCCGTGAGATGAAATTGAAAGCACTTCTCAAAATTGGCTGTAACACAGGAGCCACCGTTAGTGCTCGGGATGTCTGCCATTAGGTTGTCAAAGGTTTAGGTTGTCTTTAATTTGCTGTCCACATGTACTCGTCTATTCCAGTCAGATTTTTCTGATTTTGTTTTTCCTTTTAATTTTTGGCATGTAGCCTAGTGTCAATATTTAAGACGAAGATGTCATTTGTTTGTCACGAGGCAGATTCTATATTGGATACCTTTTTTAAATTACAGGTTTTTATATAAAACTCTTGCCTCTTTTTGAATTGCAGAAGTAGGTTTGATTGTTCGAATTTGTAATGTAAAGCAACGAAATAAGAATAAATAATCTCTCAATCCAGTTTTTGTTTTCTCTTTAATATTTAATACACTGATTTCAGCAGAAATCATTCAAGATCATCCTCTTGCCAAGTATTCTGCAGTCCCTGAGACGTAAGCATGGTTTCCATGCTGTTTTGTTGACAATAATTACTCGTAACAAGACATAATTAAGCCCAAGGGCTCGTTTATGATTCCCCAAGTGACATCAAGCAAACATGACTTACTACCGATATGCATTAACCTACATAAAACCATAAAATGGAAATGTTTGAGACCTGCATTCATTTTTCAAGTTTACCTTCCTTTGACTTTAAAACTGAGTGTGAATACTTTGTGTGCTACTTTGTATCTTACTCATTCCCTTCTCCCTCTTGTCTTACCATGTCTGATAAGAAAGAGGAATAAGCATCCTGACGAGCTGGTTTTTAATCTCTGGATGAGCAGTTAAACTTCTTCACCCCATGTAGGTAAATGTAAGGGATAATACATGTATAAACTGCTCCTATATAGCTGGTCATCTCATCTACTACAGTGGACTGGTAAATAGTGCTGGTTATGCTGAGCAAGAGGTGAATTAGCCAGCAGATCAGGAAAACAGTGGCCACTGCTACCACACTCTTGGCAGCCCTCACCTGATTCCCTGAAGATGAAATAGATCTGTCTTGTGTCTTTCGGACGGCTTGTTCATGGTTGGGGATGTTACAACTTTGCTTGAGAATTCTGGAGGAGTTGTGTTTGTAGCGCTTGTCATTGCATTGCCTCCTGCAGCTCTTCTGTGGTCTTCAGCAACCGGAGGGTTACCTCCTCTAGTTCCCGCTCTGGTGGTGTTCTTGATACGCTTTTGATTTTGCAGTAGCGTAACTGCGATCTGGATGCTTGCAACCACAATCCCAACAATTGGAACCACATTTGCCAGTGTAAGGTACAGCGTCTCGTAGATTTGCCTGGCTTCTTGAGAGGGAAAATATTCTACGCAGTCTACAAGGCTCTCATTCCACATGGCTGCAGAGACAAAGAAAAACTGTGGAAGGCTGAACACAACAGCTGCAATCCAGCTCCCTACCAGCAGTGCTGCAACAAGGCGTACATTGTCCATCTGCGCAGGAGCCCCTCCACGCTTTAGAGAGCCCACAAGCTTCTGATGCCAGAAAACAGTGATGAACAGGGTGGTGAAGATGCTGCTGGTCTCAGAGAGGTTTGAGCAAAAATTGAAAGCACCACAATACATCTTGCCCATGGGCCAACGTTTTACAAAGTCCAGGGTGTCCGGCAAGTCCACTAAGTAGTTTGTGATTAGATTGGATAAAGCCAAGTTGACAAACAGGATGTCGTTAGTTCGGAGCTGAGATCTGGATTTTGGCAGAGAGCGAAAACCAAGCCAGTGGTTGCCAATAATCCCAGACAGACACATGAAGCCTCTTATTATGGACTTCGTCCACTCTTTTGCGTTCATCTCAAGGTGTAGGACTCTTCCCAGCTGAAAGACTGGCAGCAAAACCATAGAGGACAGTTTGCGCAGGACAGCCTGGAGTGCTCTTTTGATCTGTCGTTTTAAATTTATATGGAGTCATGACATCATGACTTCATGTGATCTGCATGATCATACAAAAATCTCCTCCCACTATGTAGAATGAGTTCCCCTGTTTATTTAGGATTGTAATACTAGAAGATCTTTTGCTGTACCTTAACTATAGCTTTATGATGTATTTCAGTTTTTATTTCTATAGTTTCAGAGCCAGCTAGGCACACTAAGTGCACTGTCTGTCCTGACCCATAGGCAGGATATCTTTGAGAAACGTGAGCCTCCTTTGGAACTACTGACTCGCACTGCCAATGAGGTCTAACCAGTTGTTAGCTGAGGGACAATGTGTCTTTGAGTCCAGCAGACCACACGCAAGCCCAAGTCTGGAGCTGGTACTCTGGGGAAGGGTTCACAAGAACACCATGCTACCTCCCACTGGGGATCATTTCACTTCCACTACCTGTGCTGTCACTGAGGTTGGTTTTTCTAAAGCCAATTCCTCTTAGCCATAATTGTTTGGCTCCCTTGGTGGCCTGTTTTGTGCCTCCGCATGCCTACATCTCCCCCTGGCTTTTGCCCTAGGAAAAACCAACATGAAGTGTCTTAGATGATTGGGCACTATGAGCTTGGAGGGATGGAGCACAGCTCTTCCAAACAATATTCCATCGATTGTTGTTTTGATGATGGTGGTAACATAGCTGTCGAAAAACTCCCATAGGTGTTCAACTGGGTTGACTGCGAAAGGTGTAGCATATGATTCACATCACTGTCATACTTGTCAAACCATTTGGTGACCTGTGGATTGGGGACATTGTCATCCTGGATAAGACCACTCTTCAATCAGGAAAGCAATCAGGAGATCAGTCAGAATAGCTTTGTATTGATTTGTAATGACTCTAAGAGGACAAGTGGACCCAAACCATGGCAGCAGAATGACCTGCTTTGACATTTTCAATTCCTGCATTCTTAACAGAGGAAGGATTGTTCTGTTGTTCTTTACATTTTGTTCTATTGCATGAGCATCATGATCACTGAATGTACACTTATGATTGAATCATTTCCAACCCTGCTTGGACAACTGATGTCTTAACCATAGATCTAAATGCAGATGTCACTGATTCTCCACCCATTTATCCAGGCTTTTCCTTGAATTTGTCACCTATCTAGCTTTGGTTTAAAGTTGCTGGTTTATTTATTGATCTTTTCAAAGTCAATTTGAAAATGCTGTTTTTAAATATTATTATGTTGGTGCGATTACAAAGACCAACATTAGATTTTATTGTATGACATTTTCAAAATTCCTGGCCAGACAGGAGGTGTGTAAGTTAAAATGGAACAGGTGCTTCATCCCCTTTAACCTCCATCTCATCAAGACCTGGGTATAATGTCCTCCAAAAGCATCTAGCGGTCTCTACACCATCACTTCATTTTGCTTTACTTGCATTTATTTGTCCTGCAGAACTGACATTGTTGACATTTTCTTAAAAGGCTTCAAAAGTCAGCCTCAAAAAAGCCAAAAAAGAGACCACCCTTCATTTAATATTCAATCAAAACTGCAGGATTTTTCAAAAGAGATTTTTGAGGGTGTTAGATATAGATAATCCACTTGCATAAGGAAGGAGAAAGTCAAAGGAAAATAAGTACAGAGGTTTTCACAACTGGGTTTCAAAAATGATTAAAAAGGAACAGAGAGAGTAGAACTGCTAACCACAACACCTGTTAGACCACCAACACTGTCACAATCAGATAAAGAGCACTTAAAGCTTTCATCTTTGAGAGAGAGGAGAAAATCAAGCTCCACTCCTGATTCAGATCTGAAAACATCCACAGTCCATCCTTCCGCTGTGAGAAGACAATTCAACACTATGGGTCTGAAAGGATGTGTAGCTGTCAAGAAGCTCTTACTGAGAAAAGGAACTAGACAAAGAAGCAAACAACAAAGCTGCTGGTGCTCTCAGAACAATGGACTGGCCACTTCACAGTCCAGACCTCGTCATCACGGAATGTGTTTGGGATTACTTGAATTGTAACAGAAAATGCAACCAACTTCTAAGACTGAACTTTTGCTTGAGAAACTGAAATCTCAAAATGAATGGAAGCTGTAATAAAGACAAAGGGTGTACACACCAAATACTGGACAATTTGATATTGCATTCAGTGTTTTCTGACACTGAAAAATGAACTTGTATTTAATAGCGGGTTTGACTGGAAGTGAAATAAATAAATGGGTAGTTTCTGACTTTAGTGCAGTATTGTATATAAATTGTTTTCACTAATTCTAAATACATTATTAATTCCATACTAAGGCATATTTGGAACAGAAAATAAAAACCAAATAAAGTTTAGCCTCATTTTAACTTTCACTTATTAATTGTTGTTTACAAAATAGTCTAATTTGATTGGTTTATTGCTGCATGGATTTATAATGATTTTAATATTGATTGTTCCCTGCAGGTCAAGAAATTGGCTGCCCCAGCTGCCCCTGTGACGCAAGCATGATTTCCTGCTGCTTGGTTGACAGTCATTACTTGTAATAACATATAATTAAGTAGGTGGCTCAATTTATGATGCCTCAAATGACTTTAGGATATAATTATTATTAGTGGCACATCTGGCCCCGAAAGCCAGAGCAGACTGCAAATATTAAAACTACCTCAAATTCAGTCTGTTTGGGGGGGAAAGTAAAAGTAATCATCCTAAACAAATGAATAATTGTATGTAACAAATCATGTGCATTACATTTTGTAATGGCATATAGAAGCTTTAATTTTATAATAATAATTTTACTGATAAAATCCAATTAGGAAACAACAAATTACAGTACAGTAATGCTTTATTTGTGCTGTAATCAAAATAAAGTGAGATGCTATTTAAAAATACTTGCATCTTTAAATCTTGAGAGGTCTAAATTTAGACAGTACAGTTAATGAAGTACACAGTATAAGCTACCTAAAATACATATTGTATGCATATAGAGAGTATACAGTGGTGTGCAAAAGTTTGTGCACCCCTGTTCGAATTTAGCTCATCCTCTACAGAGAACTCACCTCTGCACATTTGAATGCACAATTAAAAAAATAAATACATAAAATAATAAAATGCATAAGATGTGGCTTGTGCAAAAGTTAGGGCATATTTAATATTTTATGTTTTATTTTTTTTTTTCAAATACGTTACAATGGAAATTAAGCAATCATATTTGCACAACAGTGCCATGTTTAAGTTTGTTCTCTATAGAGGACAGTTTATTTTCAGGATTGTGCGTATATAGAAAATATTCTTCATCACTTTCCACTGTTGTTTTTTTCTTTTTTTTTCTACCTACAGTGTGCCACCTTGTCTAGTCACATTACAGCTTACTGATTTCCCCTCCTGTCCCATCTTGTCCTGGTTAGGGAGAGCAGTACTCATCCTGACAAGCTGATCTTCAGCCTCTGCAGGAACAATTCAGCTTCTTCACCCCATACAGGTAAATGTAAGGGATGATACATGTGTAAACTGCTCCTATGTAACTGGCGAATTCCACCACCAGACTGGACTCCTTAACAGTGCTGATTATGCTGAGAACGAGGTGAGTGAACCAGCAGATCAGGAAAATAGTGGCCACTGCTACCACGCTCTTGGCAGCCCTCAGCAGACTTCCTGAAGATGAGCTGGATCTGGCATGGGAAGTTTGGACACCTGGTACATGGCTGGGGGCCACAGCGTTGGACCTGAGAACTGCTTCTGGTGGTCTTTGTGGGCATCCTGCAGAATCTGTTGGCACGTTTTTGCTTTTCTTGGCTAAAGTGTTACCTCCTTTGTTGACCTTGGTTCGCTTCTCAATCTGCAGCAGAGTAATTGTAATCTGGATGCTGGTGAAAAAAATCCCGAGAATGGGAGCAATGTTTGCACATATAAGGTACAGGAGCTCGTAGGTTTGCTTGGCTTCATGAGAATGAAAGTCTTCCATGCACTTCAATGCAGTCTTGTTCCCGTTCTTCTCAGAGGCAAAGAAGAAATGGGGACTGCTGAACACGACAGCTACAATCCAGCTCACAGCCAGCAATGCTGCAACAAGGCGTATGTTGTCCATTTGCGCAGGAGCCCCTCCACGCTTTAGAGAGCCCACAAGCTTCTGATGCCAGAACACAGTGATGAACAGGGTGGTGAAGATGCTGCTGGTCTCTGAGAGGTCTGAGCAAAAATTGAAAGCACCACAATACCTCTTGCCCAACAAAAAGTTGTTTGTAAAGTCCAGGGTGTCCGGCAAGTCCACCATGTAATTTGTGATTAGATTGGATAAAGCTAAGTTGACAAATAGGACGTCACTGGTTCGGAGCTGAGATCTGGATTTCGGCAGAGAGCGAAAACCCAGCCAGTTGTTGCCAATAATCCCAGACAGACACATAAAGCCTCTTATTGTAGATTTCATCCACTCTTGTGCATCCATTTCAACTTCTCCTGTCTTTCAGAAGGCAAGTTTGGGTGTCTATGGCACAGAATGTTGAGTCTAAAATTTATAATGACAGACAATGACATCATCACACACTAATTTCATCAGTGTGGCCATGGATACAGCCATTCAAATCTCCTCCCACTTTGTTGAAATGTAGATTCTGCAGATTTGTTTCCACTGTCTCACTCAGAACAAATTACACTGGGAGTACAAGCAGTCCACTTTATGTTTCATATTAATGTTTTTCCTACAATTAGTTAGTCTGTATAGCCTGAATGGTCTAGCATAGGTAAAATGCCACAATGGCAATTGGAGTACCACCACAATAAATCACTATTTAGGAGTGGGTGACATAGCAAAAATATTATCATACAATAGTTAAAGACATTTTCACAATAAAGACATGCATCACAATATTCTGACACACAGGCACAATGAACTAGTACTGCCGCATTTACAAACAGCCTGGGTATGATGGTTTTATTTAACTTTTCATATACAACGCTGCCCTAAATCTAATGAATTCAGATTAATAATCCTCTCTTTTTATTTAAAACATGCAGTTAGTTAGTTTTCTTCAAGTCCTGATTATGTTCACAGCATGCTCAGAAAAGAACATTGTTTATCACAATAACAAAATGTGTCATGATAGTGCTAAAATATCATCACATTGCCCACCTCTATCATTACTTATTATCATTTCTAAATCATTTTCTTACAAACATCTGCTACAGCTGTAACAAGTGGTCAAAAAGTGAAAGTCCACTATGAAGAACTTTCTAGTGAGTTAGACTAGTGAGATTTTCCAGTTATGCAAAGAATGAAGTGCAGACAGAGCTGAAGATGAGATTAAATCAGACACACCAAATGTTGAGATATCTATGGATAAATGTATGTGGACGTTTGACCATCACACCCATATGAGGTTGTTGGACATTCCATTCCAAAAACATAGGCATTAATATGGGATGGCTCCCAGTTTCAGCTGTAACAGCCTCACAATCACCATTCCAGGTAAATTAAAAGGTGTTCAGTGAGGTCGTCCCCAAATTGTGGCCCCAAAGTTAGTAGCATATTTGTCTAAATTGTCTTGCATACTGTAGCGTTAACATTACCCTTCACTGGAACCAAGGGGCCCTAAAAAACAGCACCAGACGATTATCCCCCTCCACTGAACATTACTGTTGGCATATATACGTATATATACATTTTAGCTTTCTTGTTTCATTCTTGTATATATTTTATTTTATATATTATGTTTTATATATCGTCGCTGTCCAATGAAAACCATGTATCTCCATTTTTGTTGATTTTTAGTTTTCTACATCATTTCACGCTGTGTAAAATTTTCATGATGCATGGACCAATAGAAATGCTTTAAAATCACTTGGAACATCTCTTTACATTGACCTACATTGAAAGGTAAGAGTGTTTTTGCCTTCTCCTGTAACGTTAATATTTTGGAGATACTTGTTTTTCATTGGACAGCAACTATATGTTATATATGTTCTTTTATATATTCTTTAGTTTGTGTAAAGTTCAGACCATCTGTTCTTATGTAAATGATATTTTCTCATAATGATTAAATACCGATGATTTTATACACACACACATATATATATATATATATATATATATATATATATATATATATATATATATATAAGAAAACGTTTTGCCCTCTCCTGTAAACTTACTATTTTGGAGATACTTCTTTGAACAGCAACAATGTATAACAAGTAATGTACAACAGTAAAAAATGTGTGGGTGTGTCTTCACGGTTGCGTCCCGCTCCATGGCAACGAACCTGGAATCATGGGAATTATAGTTCAGCGCTGTGTAGCTTTGGAAGCGGAGCGAGTTTCGGAAAAAAAGCGCCTATGGACTGTAAACAAACGTGAACTAGCTGACTTAAATGTGCTGTATGATTATGGGGTTACAGTACGAGTATATTAGAGATGGAAATTAAACCAGTGCTGCTGAAGTACTGTAGGTTTGACCGTTTACTCCTTCGTTTGGATGAGTTACTAACTGACAAGCTAGCGTTAGCTAACTAGCTAGCTAAAACAGCTAACGGTCCTTATCGCTGATTAGCGGCGCTAAAAGTGAGGTAAAAACAGCTTTATGGCTGTTCCTTTTGAAACGTAAAGTTACTAAGTTCCGTCTGTTATTCAGCTAGTAGTAGTAGTTTCAACACACGCCCTCATTTGTAGGTTCGCGAGTGGATGAAGCTGTTTTTTGTGTCCACAAGTGGCAATGCGTTACATCTTTAGGTTAAGCTTAATGTTTTCCTAAGCAGCTGGTAGCGTTATTACAGCGCCGCTAAACTGCACGTCCTCTTTAATTTCAGATGTTTCTAAGAAACGACTTGCTGTTTAGCAGACTAGCTCTGATGATTTGATCAGCATGACCTCAGTCAGAACATGGATGGCACTGATTTGAAAGCCAAAGAAAGCAGAGAGGCTGGACGGCCTGTCAGATTCTGCAGATATGGAGGTAAAGTTCGAGGTCCTTCTCTCGTCCAGCATCAAACGGAAAAAGCCATGGCCGAGATTCTGCTGGCTCGGAAAGGTGAGACTTTCGGTTTTCACTGTACTTAATGTTGATCTGAGTGTGCTTCGTGCTATGGAGTGATTTCTATCATCTGACATCTTTCTAACGTTTTTTACAGCACAAGTGCAGCCTTTTCTTGCTTTTTTGTTTTTCAGGAGAAGGAAGGTGTCTTTCTTTTGGATGACAGTCGGATCAGTGAAATCAATCTGGTATCAGGGCAGACCAAAAAGAAGACCCCAAAACTTCAGCCTTTGTTGCCAAGAGTACTGACCATGTCTGGGTCACAGAATGGTGAGCCCTGAGCCCAAATGTTTCACGGCATTTGTGATGCATTGAAGTGTCTAACTTGCTCTTTGCTTATCTTAGGTCTGTGGCTGGCTGGAATATTGGTCTCTGGAGAGCTTTTTCTGTGGAACCGAGACAAAGACTCCCTAAAGATGGTCACAGCCATATCTGCAGTATATGAGCTGGCCTCTGCTGGTAAAGGTCAGTGTAGTTACTGTGAGCTCTTCTTCTTCATTTGTATTTAGAAATATCTCATTGACCCAGCTGTTTCATGCTTACATAGCAACTTCACTGCGCCCCTCTCTGCTGGTGTCGGGAGATGGACAGAGGGTTCTCCTGGTCACTGTTACTGGCCAGGTTTTCATCTGGGAATGCTTGGTGCCTCAAGATCTGAACAGCTTGCGAGACAGCAACGTCAAGGGCCGCTGGAGTCAGATAGCATCCTCAGAAAATGCACGGCTGCCCTCATCTAAAGACAAGGAGGCATCTGTTCACTCTGTATTTGTCCAGAGCCAGGTGAGAGCAACTGAGGGTCTGTTTCATTGGTTAAACAGACTGTCGGGCTGCTTTTTCAAGCATTTTCTTGTTCTCTGCTCTTATTCAGGCTGTGGGTGATGTTTGCCTGAGCGCCTTTGTCTTCACCAGTGGAGAGCAGCTGATTGTCACTTTCCTGAAGATTCAGTGGGAACAGACCTGGGAGAGGAAACTCAGGTTTGATTCCAAAGACGTGAGAGCAGGCAGTGATTTGTCGCTTTTGAATTAATTTAATGAAGATCTGTCTTTTTTACAGTTTGGAAGGATACAGTGTACAGTGGGTCACCAAGACCTATCCACTCAACCACCTTGTGCCTGCATGTCGACCTGTGAAGTCAAGAGGATCGCTGGTACCAGCCTTCTCACCTGATGGACAACTGTTAGCAATAATCCTTAACCAAAAAGATCCGAGGGTAAATTAAACCAGTCTTTACAGTGCAAAGAAATCTGTCTTATCAGCAGAAATAACTGTAGGGTTATTTAACTTATTTCTGGACATTTTTAGCTTGTTTCAATACAGAATGCAGATAATTTTGCTTTTTCCAGAAAATGTTTAAAACAAGCTAAGAAATATCTGCCCATGGAATAAAATACTTTTAGTAGATTAAAAAAAAACAAACTAAAAACAGCTAAAAAAAAATTTAGCAATAAGTTATACATTCTATAATATTCTCAACAGTCTCAAAATGTGAAATATTAGATATTTGGCTAGATTTAAGGTTATTTTATTTGCCGAGATATATGTTTTAAAATGTACAGTTGTAACAGGCTTCTACATTATCTTCAACATATTTTGCCCTCATGTCTTACAGGCTACTCAGGTGTTGTACATAAGCGTCCAGAACTTTGTGACCATATCCAGCTCACTAGGCGGATGTGGCAGTAAGAAGCTCAACATCCCATCAAAATATGTGAGGTAAATAACAAGCCAGTGTGGTTATTCTGCATATGCCAATCGCGTTTTAAACCATAGCCACTTTTAATGACCTGCCGTTGCCTGCAGGTCATATTGGGTGGGCTGTGTAAGCTGGAGTCCAGGAGGGCTCTATCTTGCCTGTGTGTTGAAGAGAGGCTCTCTCCTCTTGCTGGCACGCTTGGGTGGTCTGGTCTCTCTTTCCACCACAGGGTGTGACATTGAGTTTGGCCCGGCACACTTCCTGCCTCTTCACCCGCTGGTCACTTACAGGTGAGTGGAGTTGATAAGATGGTCTTTAATATAGTGTGACATCAGTAAGATATAACAGATATTTTTGGTAAAATCATGTTTACTGAGACAAAAGTGAGGACTTGGCTGTTGTTAATGCTTTACTGCAACTGTGTTCTGTATTAAAGATGCTGATTGGACACTGTGAAGTTGCATCATTGACCCTGTTTGCACACAGTCTTTTCATGTGACTTGCATCTGGATTGTAACCTGATAAAATTTTAACCACATGCATTCACACTTGATGATCAAATGCATCTCCAGTTACTCAGATTAAAATCTGATTGTTATTTGGGGCATAATATGCAAATCAGCTTATATACAACAGCTACTCGCGATTGATGTTACTAGTTTTTCTTGTTCTCTAAATAAATCAGTGGCCTGAAATCACAGTTTTTAATGGTGTTATTAATTTTCT